AACTTAGGCTTAGATGTACTTACCCCAATATGAGTGTTTGTCACTGCCCTTTTCAGAATAGCAATCGTCTCTTCGGCAGCTTCCAATCTTTCACTTGATTCTGCTGCAAGAGATGTACAAGCTCTCAGCCCTTTTAGCGCATTCCATAGTATCTTTCAAGTGATCAATAATGGAACGTTCTTCGCCTTCCTCATTTGACCCTATCAAGGTCTCAAGACGCATCAACCGTTCTCGAATAGCTTCCATGACTTCAGCTGCACGTTTTTAGAATCAAACCGAGCTCTGATACTAATTGTCACAGGGTTAAATTTTTCACAACGAAATTCAACCCAATGCGGCAGTCTAGTCCCAACTAGACTCAGCTTTGCCTCCCCTTTTCACTCGTGTTTCCTACGACTATGTGTTTCGCTCACCCAAAAAGGTTCCCACAATTGCCAAGTCGTAAACAAAGAACAAACACAAGCAAGCATACCAAAGCTTACAAGAATACCTCTCAACCTTTATTTATCTCATCAACAAAGGATTACATAATAAGAGTGTATGTGTTATGCACAAAATTTCATGCTACACAGCAGAGGCTTGGTAGCTTATTTATAGATAAATGTGAGCTGTTAGACTCACCCATGATCCCTATTTTTCAGGGCAGAGTGGGGCACTTACTCCCCATGATCCCTCATTTTCGGGGCATAGTGGAGCACTTACTCCCCTATGAACTTAGTGGCTTACCCATGATCCCTAATTTTCAGGGCATAGTGAAGCACTTTCTCCCCCATTATGCTGCCACTTCCCACATTTTGCCCCCATGATACAACCACATTTTGCCTATCCACATGGCAATCCCAACTGCCTATTTTGCGGCGTCAGCTGCTGATTTAGAAGATCCATTACCTAAGCCCCCACGTCCATGCCAAGTCGCAAGCTCAATGACTTGCATATAGACCATTGCACGCTACCTGCTGAATTTGTTTTTGCCTATGCAAGGTTGCCGTTGTCCATCACTGTTGAATTCTAGGCAATGTGCTTTTGTTAGCGCATCCCCGTGCCTAAAGCCTTAACACCTACCATGATAGTGAAGGGTGGCAAAGACTGTGCAAGCGAGAGGTTTTTTTCTAGAAAAACACTACTTGGAACGGTCGGGTGCTTATGTTTCAAGCTATCATTCCTGGTGTTGCAATACACAAGATATTTAGCAAAACAAAAGCTTGAATGCTCGTTTCAATACATCTCTATAAATATAGAAAAGGAAAAAAAAATCAAAGTCACGCATGCACGTTGTGAATAAATGTTGTGAAAAGTAAAGAAAGCATCACAGGCCCCGTCATGTTAGGTCCTTGAATTTAACAACTTCACTTGTGGCCAAAATTATAGTAGCTAGAGTTAAGGGATCAATCCCATGCCAAGAATCAGATAAATTTGACAACTTTCAGACAGCTTATAAAACATATAAAGAGAGTAAAGAGGAAAGCAACTCATG